TCCTTCCATGTAACTGTTTCCTTTATGGATTGTGTCAAAATAAACCTGTACTGACATATTCCTACACTGGCAGCACCAGCACAGAAAAGGTCTGGGAATGATGAGTTCAGATGGAAGCACAGGGGTTTTTAGGAGCTGGTTCCCAGCATGAGCAGTGCCCTCTGGAGAAGATGCCCTTGCAGATTCACCCTGGCCCACTGCAGGGGCTCAGTCAGGAGAGGGATTTTTCTCACATCCCCATGGGCTGCTCCTCCAGCCACCATACAGGAGGCACAGGCTGATGGCTCCCCGAACTGCCTGAAGCAAGCCAACAAAATTCAGGCCTGTAAGATTTTGTAACACAGCACAACTGAGTCAAAACTTCCAGATGTAAATTGCTTGTTCACAAGAGCACTGGCTTGCATACTCTACATGCTTTTTGCACTACTCATGTCCACGTGCATTCTCCAATACCCATTGGAACTTTCCCTTCTTGGGTTCACCCAGTGCTAGATGGAATGATGTGTGTTTGTATACACATGTGCGTTTATATTGAAAACATAACCGTGTGAGTACTTTGGTTTGGATATTGTATAGTTTTGGTTTTGCTCAATAAAAGCACAAGAAATCTATACAATGTAGCTCTGGTCTATGTAACCATACTATTTGTTGTTAATCAAATAAACACTGCAATTAAGATTTCTTACAACAGCTAGATGCGAGAATAGCAAATTTGGTCTTGGCTCACAGTTGTTTAACCAAATATTGATTAAAAGGCATACACTCTAAAAGTATGAGGTCTAAGTTTCAACATCTTATAAATTTTTGTCGTGTAATGGAAGAGCAATGTAATAAATGAAAGTCCACCAGAACAAACAACAGAAAAATCACCTGGAATCAGCTTGGCATAACCCTACTCCTACCATTAAACCAGAAAACAAAACTAACCATTCACAATGCCTTGCCAAAGCTAGATTTGTGAAGTTCCCAATATAACTGTGGCCTCCTTGGTAGGTGATCCTATGCTTCAGGTGATGGGCACAACCCAAGCAGAAGAAATAATTCTGTCCTCAGAGCAGATCATCCTGTGCTTTTCATAGCCCACAGGGACAGCAGCTGGCCTAGGCAAGGCATCTTGGTTTATGACAGACCCTTGTTGTCTAGCATGTAGTAAAATATGACTCACTTCAGGGACCCACACTTGAGAGAAGTCACAGAAAAGTTCACTAAGCACTGCCAGTAAAAACATGGGCGTACTCGCTGTGTCTTTGTAATGGCACAAAGCATGTCAGTGGGGTACGTGCTTTCCAGTGTAATCATCCCTCAGCCCTCTCTGGAGAAATACAGCACAGTCATGCTGCAACACTCATAATCACAGCATTCATCCTACTTGCTCTGTCAACCAACTTGACAATAACTTCATCACAGATTTCTTCCTTTTTCCAGTCTTAATTATCAACATTGCCTCCCCCCACATGATCAGACTGAGAGCACAACCAGCTTAGTACATGTAAATCAAAGTAACAGCCTCACCTTCTTCACGTGGTATTTGTCATCCCGCACCTGCTATTGCCTCTCAGCTGACCATCCTCCCCACCTGCAGCACCCTCATCACCTCGCACCCGTGTGTCTGCTCGCTCCCTGCCGCCCTGCTCGTCAGAGCTGCCTCTCAAGCACCTTCTGTGCTTCTAAGTGGGGTTTCAGACATTTCGTCAGAGGACTGGGATCCAAACCCCACCTTTGGGTTTCTTTCCACGGAAATAAGAGTGAGGGCGGCCTGTCCGTGCCCAGAGCCCCAGCCTGGGCCGGTGCCCCCTGCGGCAGGGATCCCTCACGGCTCCCACACGGTGTGCCACTGAGACGGCAAGGTAACAATCGGGATAAAAACGTGAGCTACTCCCCAAAGCCCACAGGCATCTTTCAGCTGCAGTGATATTTAACTGGGTCCAAAAAGGGTCCCAACAGCTCTGCCGCTCCCCACAGCTCCCCTGGGCACACACGGGCGCTCACGGCTGCCCTCCTGTAAAGCCACACCCCTGGCTCCTGCCCCTGAGCAGCCCTTGCCCACCGCGGCCGTGCTGCCCTCAGCTGCCTCCCTCCCCGGCATCCCCTGCAAACCCGGGTGGGACCGTGCCGATCCCCGCTCTGCCACTTGGAGCTGCCTGAGCGGCCGCAGGGCGCAGCCAGACCCGCGGGGCGGCCGCTGCTCCATCCCGCTGCTCCTGTGTGACCTGCACAGGGCAAACACAGGAGCTGGTTCTTGCTCAGGATGAGGATTTTTATTTTGAACTCCTAGACTCAGTTTTTAGCAGCAGAGGAGCTCCCAGAGACAGGACTGGTGCTGTACCTCTTCTCCTGCTTGCAAGAACACTCGCTCTGTGACCCTCACGAGTGCAGATCGTGACTTCCAGCTGAAGCCTTTCGTATTTCATGGCACTTCTCCCCAGTGCAAAAGCCAGACCGATCCCCTTAGCTTACACGCACACCTGGTTTGTCTGAAGCAGCCTGTTAACAAGGACAGTATCACAGGGACAGCCATATTCAGAGTTAACAGCACGAGTAAAGCCTGCCGGCAATAACCCTGCCCAGCTGGCGGGTGCCCAGCACATTGAGCTGGAGTTCCAGTGACAGGCACTATCCCAGCCCCCATGGCCTTGGCACGCTGGGGGCATGGCAGCCCTGGAAGTCTGCCAGACCCAGCTCCTTTCGGGCTCAAGTGTGGCATGTGTCTCCAACCTCCCATTTCCAGACACTTCTTAACTGCTTCCTTCATGTTATTTTATTTCAGTGATTTAAATTTTCTGTGACATGTTTTGGCACTCGAAGAATTTTGTGAAAACCTAAATATTCCTGCTGCAAATGCTCTGTGTGTATACTCCTCTTAAATCTTCCTGTTTATTTTATTTTTCAATACTAACAGCCAATGTTACTAATCACCTTTAGGATCATGGACTAATAAAAATATTGCGTAGTGCAAAGGCTACATCCCAAGCTCTTACAGCCCATGGGATATGCCTACTTGTATAAAGGACAGACTAAGAATTTTTTAATCCTTTCACCCTATTTGCAAAGCAAATCTGGACTTTAAATGCTTAGAGAATTGGGAAAACCATAGCCACGTTCATGCATTACACTGTGACTTTGCAGGCACACCATAAAAAAATTTACTGACAAAATAGAGCGCTCGGTGAGCCACTTACCACACTGTTAAATACCATCAGCTTTCTCTGCTTAATACTCAAGATTTTGCCCTTTAAAATACTGATTTACTTTTTTGTCTCTACAGTATGTTCTTTACTAGAGCCAGCAGTTTATAAGCAGCAGTAACAGAGGAAAAGAGCCTCCACCCAAATATTTTTTAACCAATTCCTCAAAATATATGTGCCAAAACTGGATGGAAAAAATCTGTTATTTAAACAAGAGTGCAAGAGTAACACTTTTGTGCTGCTTATCCTTTTCATCTGTCCACAAACCAGCTCCTTTTTAGACTTTCCTAAACACAGTAAAGCTGCAGCTCAGCGCAGCAGGGTGAGCAGCAGAGCCGGCCAGGAGGCACCACGGGGCACTTCACCTTCTGGGCAGGCTGCAGTGGCACCCTGGGGCCTTCCAGAACACCACAGAGAAATCTGCAATTTGAGCTCTAAACTTCCTTGGGGAGGTGAAGGATGTAATTTGATCTTTCTTTTGCAAAGTGTAAATGCACAGAGGTTGGCAAGGCTAGGTTCAGAGCCTGAGATTTGGGAACACTCTACAAAAACACTTGCTGCAATCAGGCTTCCAGCCTCATAAATATCTGCTTTACAATTACAAAGTGACAGCTGTGAAAATCTATCAAAATATTGTCTCCTTTTCCTTTTATATTGTCTTGGAAGGAATGCTGTGATAAATTTAATTCTGTTTAAATTTGAAGAGCTCTGGACTGTGTTTTTCCCAAAACTGGCACCAGGTATTTTTTGACCGTCCAAAACATTTGCTTCACTCACAATGCTTGAGGGAACAAATATGCACAACATTGATACCTACTCTGAAGTATGGCAATACTCTTACCTCTTATTGGCTAAAAATACTAGTGCAAATATATCAGAATTCATTGGCTAATAAATGCATTTTAAAATTAATTCCACATATGAGACACTGATCATGCTTTCACACCATGTTTCAGTCAAAGTATAAATTTTACAGGAGAAAGGGAACAACAGCTGCAGCAACTTTCAGGTGAGTTCACCCTATGGAGCTCATTTCCACAGGAAAACAGAAGTGTCTTGATGCAGTAACTGAAATATGGTTGTTATGAAGCAATAAATCCATTGCACCTCTGTGAATTATGTCATAGGCAACACATAAGCTTAGAACTGCTTCTAATTAATAGCCTTTTCTGTACTGAAGGAATCTTGGTTTTTAAAGTGATCACTTAACATTTTAGACCCCCTTACTAAGGAACTCCCTTTTGTGAGTCAATAACTACAATGTCTGAATAACCCAGAGAAAAACCACTAAGGCTGTTCCCCTCAAGTGCCCATAAAGAATATTCTGCACAAGAAATACAGGAAAAAAATTAGAAAGCAGGACTGTAAAAACTCAAATTCTTGTCCTGCTGATACACAGCAAAACTACCTGCTCCTGCACAGGAAGATCATTCAGTGATGAAAACAATCTTGCTCACATGTCTCCAGTGTAGCTGCAGTCACAGGTACAACCCAGCAGCACTCTGCTGCTGCACAGCCATGGCGTCACTGTGCTCAAGCCAGGCTTTCTGCAGAATTCAAATGAGGCTGTGTCTTGACATGCAACAACTAAATGCCCACAGGATCAGAACTCTGGACTTCAACTTTGAGCAAAAACCAGCAGCATTTAACTAAACATATCTACTGTTTTCTGCAAGAAGCCATGACACTGAGTACTCAAACAAAGCCAATGGATTAAAAGAACTCCGAAGTGGATACACAAAATCAAATCCTGCACACAATTCCCATTGAAATTTATGGGACACGAGGACAGACATAAATGAATCATGACATCAATTATTAATAAATTGATATATACTTTATTATGCACAAGAGACTAAGATGACATGACACTGTGGTTATCAAAACTGTACAATTACGCATTTCCACAAGGCTCTGAAATACTGAATGCAATATGAAATACAAACTGGGTGTTCAGACTGGCCACAGGTTTTAGGGAGTAAATTTCTCCCATTCTTTGATTTGGCATTTGCATCTAAAAGAAATATACTTATTTATTCAAAGGTGAGAATATTGTGTTTGGAACTGTCAGGACAGGGCAGCGAAGATCTGGTAACGCTGTGAACATCCTGATGAATGACAAACAACAACAGGGTACAACAGGCACCTCACACGAAGGGCTGCCAGCACAACCAACAGTACAGTCTTCTTGTGAAGCATGAGGTAGATATACATAACAGACAGAACATACAGGAGAGGAATGGTTAGGAAAGAGCAGGGGGAAGGTTACAATCATCAGCATCTACAGACATTTTGCAAAATCCATTTTCATGTGGCAAATGCTACAAAAATAGCCTAACACAGAAAGATCTGATCTCTTGAATCACAAATGTAGAAATGTCCAAAACCAAATAAAGTAAAAGGTTAGAGTTAGTGATTAGACAACACATGACAGAACAAGCAGTCTACTTGGGAGTTTAAGTATCCTAATAGCTTTAACAGGCACAAGGTGTCCATTTGAAGCCCAGTCCTCCCAATCTTACATAAGAAGTTCCTTCGCAGTTGATTCCATCATGCTGAAATTAACACTGACTCCATCCATGCAAACCCCTGCTGGGACAGCAGAGTCTCCCTGGCCTTCAGGCCCCACAGGGCTCTGCCATGTGAGCCCAGCGTGGTGAAACCCTCAGGGCAGAGGTGGCAATCAGCACCTCACACCACACACAGAGACGGGCAGTGCTGACTAATGGCTGCTGTAAAACCAGAGCTGTGCCAGGCTCTGAGCTGAGGGCAGCTTAGCAGCTGCTGCAAAGTACTGCACACTTCTGTTATAAAGTTATTCACTAGGAATGTTTGGGTTTGGTTCTCTCTCTTTATTGAAGCAGAAGTGACTCTTCCATCTGCTAAGCAATCATGTGCCATTTTGGTAAACTCCAACAGACAATTAACTCAACAGACAATTAACTCAGTTCTATTAAAACCGCTGAATTAAATAGCTGAGTATACCACATTCAGTTAATTCAAACTGAATTTCATACACAAGTCAACAAATCAATCTTTGACCTTTATATATTTTTGGTTTATCCAATGGTATATATAAATCTGTAAATTATTCTAAAATTAGATTAAAGTTTTGATAAAAAGACTGATAATGCAGCATGTTTCTCTCAAAAATATACAATTATCTATTTTACACAGAATTTTTCAACCTGTCCATCCCAACAACCAAATCTAATACTTCCTATGAGAAACTACTTAATAAAATATCTGGGGAAGGAAAGGGTTAAAATGGGGAAAGGAATTTACAAAATATGTAAATTTCACAGTAATTGAAATTAAACATTTCATATAGAGTAACTTACATTTATCTAAACATTTAAATATATCTTTATACAGAAATTTAATGTAGTAAAATATAGCTATGATTGAAGTTAAAGACTCTAGTCTTCTTTGAAGACATCTTTAAAGACTTTACACATAGAATATGCTTTAACATTACATTCTGCTGAAGGTTAGGCAAAGCGCTTTCTTTTCAACCACACAGGCAGCACATTCATCCTCCCCACGGCTCGGAGCAGAGCCACCCTGCACACCCTTCTGCAGGGGTAACCACAATTTAATGGCACCCTGTCCCCATCACCAGGCCTGCAGCATCAAATATCTTTGTATGTGTGACACCGAGACCAGCCCTGGTTCAGAGTCCAGCACGTGCTTCCAATAGTGAGGACAAGGTGGGCAGTTACCCGCTTGCAGAGGGGTTTGCAGGATTGGTAACAGATTTGATTTAAAGTGAGTAACACTCTGCCTGATCCTGGCACTTAAATCTTTGCATATGTTGCACTTGGACTATCCTGGCATCAGCAAGGCACAAGTGTAGAATCAGTAAGAAATCTGCAGCTCAGACTTCAGAGCAGACTATCACTCGAGTGTAATGAAGTCCCTTCCTCTCTTGCAGAGCACAGGTAACCTTCACTACAACTAATGAAAGTTATTCATCTCATTCTTAGAGGAAACGCACGCCCTCTCTTCCTCAAAGAAGGATCAGTAGAACACATTACAAAGTGGCAAGAAACAGTCAAACAATTACATGTTAAAAGTGTCTTTTTCTGCTTTTCATTTTGCATCAATTTGAAGGTGAAGATAAGGCAATGACACTAAAAATAGTGACAATTAGTACCCTTCTTCCATTTCCATATTCTGATACTGCTTTGGGACTATCCAATCATAGCATTCATACAACAGTTTGACACAACTGCACAACTATTTTCAGAGAATAGCAAACAACAGGCACTATTGTACATTCCTTGTGCCCTCAAATTCATGTCTTATTTTAAAGAGAATTTAGGCTAGCTAAAAGATTAGAACCAAATCAACTTTTTTAGCTCCTCTATCTACCGTTATAAACTGAAAAGACAGTTTTTATTTTTTTAATATATATCTATTTATGGATTATATGTTTATGTATAGAAGGAATGCTGTGCTAATTTCCAACTGGTAAAGTGGTTAGGCTGTGTATACCTTGATATAGATCTATTTGCATAAAGACATTGCCATTAAAGGTACACACCCATCTATGTTAGTGCATAAGACCATTCTTTGTTTTAATGTTTGTGTGTGCCTGTTTTTGGTATAGCAGATCAAAAAATCTCTTATACAAGAGCTTTGGCCCATAAAACAAGAGAGGGAATGTTAGAGTGTGCTCTTTTCCAATTACTAAATCAATGACTATAATAACAAAAATACCTGGAAGAAACCTGAAGCTGCAAACACAACAGGAAAGCAAATGAGATGCTGTAGCTGTAAGCTGAAAAAACAAAGATTATTCAAAAGAGGCTAAATGTAGCTGAATAATAAAATGTTATTTACCAAGGAGATCTGACATTGATGCTTTCTTGCTCAGAAAAAGAGAAATCCTTTGACCTAAGTTCACCTTTGTTCTTATCTTATGTAGTGATAGGACAAGGAGTAATGGCTTTAAACTGAAATAGGGAGGTTTAGATTAAATGTTAGGAAAAAACTCTTTACTGTGAGGGTGGTGAGGACCTGAACAGGTTGCCCAGAGAAGTTGTGGATATCCCATCTCTAGAAGTATTCAAAGGCACATTGGATGGGGCTTGAGCAACCTGGTCTAGTGGAAAGTGTCCCTGCCCAGGGCAGAGGGTTGGAACTAGATGATCTTTAAGGTCCCTTCCAACCCAAACCATTCTGTGATTCTATGACTGAATTCCCTTAATGAATACCTTGTGTCAATGATAAGGTTCAGGGAAAGGAAAAAATCATATAGACAAAGCAGCATTTTTCCAAACTGGCATAGATTTCACATTGAGGGCCCACAGACCCCTAGAACAGGTTGCAGTACTGTAAAATTAGTAGCTTTGTCACATGTAGCATAACATGCTAACAAGATCCAACAGGCTGTGTTCACTCATGCATTGTGTGCTCATTTACACACTCACACACACAGTGGCTTCCCCAAAAGAAAATCAGTCTTTTTTCCCCCATAGAAAAATCCCTCCTCATTTTTTCCAGAAGCAACCAAACGGATCCTTTCAACGTTCAGAAGCTGCTGTCCGATGTCCCCACAGTCCTGTGCTGCTCCCTGGCTGTGTCCCCGGGTTAGGTGGCACTGCTGCTGGAGCAGGGGGTGCTCTGTGTGCTGCCAATGCTGTGGGCTGCACTGCTGTTCTCGGAGGCTGGTGGCGATGTAGGGACCTGCTGCCTTCCCGCTGTCTCCCCTGAGGGACAGGCAAGAGAAAAAGTGGGGTCAGGAGAAGGGAAACTGAAAATGTTCTCATAGAAAACAACAACCCATTTCTTCCCAGTCCTCCTCTTCTGGTGGTTTGTTTTCCTATGCAATTAACATATTGGGTAACAGACCTTAATTGGAGTATCTCTGAAAATGTTACCAGACTTTGGCACCTCAGCATGGCTGTGCACATGGGGAAAATAACAGCGCTGTTTCCTTGAGCATTTTACAAGCAGTGATGGAAACTGCCAAGATCAACACTGTCTATCTTCTGTTGTCAGCTGTCACTCAAGATGGATCCTATTACACAACTCAGACACTTTACAGCTTTGCTGTTTCCAGGAAAAAGGCCAGGAAATGTAGGCTTTAGTTTTAATGCCAGTTTATAGAGCGGCATATTTACTAAAAGTGTAGCTTAAAACAATCTTCTTCCATCAGTGGATACCACATATCCTGAGACATAGCCAGTTTTCTTCATGTAGAAAAATAACAGGCTATCCTGAAAGCTTGACTTGATTTACTCCTAACACAACATGCAGGAAGTTTTCCTATAGTTACACAGTATGTGCAGCACTTAGAACCTGTAGTGAGAGCATGTCTCAACAACCCCTTCGCTATTTATATTGCCAAGTCAAGCACTTGGAGTCTCCTCACACCGTTCTGCACCTGTGGCTGGGATTGAAAGGAAAAATCCAGCTGTCAACTAAGCACGAAAGTAATAATTATGCCATGTAATGCCTCAAAGATCATAATAAGGCCACATAGGAAACCCTAACTGTGGCATTTTTAAAGTTACAGTGCTCAAGTCTGTAACCTTAGCAATATTACAACATAGTCTCTTCAAAACAGATGGCAAGACTTAAGTTTATATAATGTGCACTGTAGCTGCCCCCTCCCTTGAGCTCATCTCCAGCAAGCAAACCTGTGATCTCAGTGCAGCAACAGTCACACTGCTGCTGCCTGAGCTGCAGACCTGCTGTGGCAGCCAGAACCAGCACAGCTGCTTTCCCAGAAAAGCAGCAAGACGGAAATGATTTGTGGAATCATGGGCAGAGCAATTAGGAAAAGTCAGAGGCTAGTACATCTCCTGCCTCATGAGCTTATGGTGACACAGCTCTCCTGCTCCACATTATCCTATGTTATCCAGAACCTGATGCCATGGGTCAGGTCTGCACACTCCAATTTTTCTTCCATGTTCAGGATTTGGTAGAGATCCCACTTCCCAGTGACTGCTTTAGTGACAGGCTGAAGGCTGGAGGCCCCGCCTGCATCCAGAGGGTTACAGAGCAAGGACGAGCCAGCTTCCTCCCACAGGAGCTGCTCTGGCACATCCCCATGCCCTTGTGCTGCTGCCCAGCTGCCAGAGCCCAACTTCTCGGAAGGGCTGCAGAGGAAATGCGCCTTTAACGCTTTGTGTCTCAGGCCACAAAATATCCTCCTGCAGGCTGCTCAGTACTCAGAGGTGCTGCAAACAAACAAGGGAGGCCTGAGGATTTCTCACAGCAGAGGTTGCAAGTGCTCTGTGCAATGGAGCCCAGCAGATGTGCTGCTAGCTCAAGCCACAGCCACAGCTGAAGTGCACTTAAAGCCCCACAACACACAGCTCTTTCCTTACACCCCACTGGTTTAGGAATGGGGAGGAAAGAAAGGGCAGCACAGAAAAAAACCAACAAATTAAACTACTAAACCACACTGCTCAGCAGGCCAAATAAACTTTTAAAAAGATGTGAAGATCTTGTTTTTAAATTCAGCATTCTGTCCAGCATTTTACTCTAGTGAGCAGATTTTGAATCTGTTTTTCCTAGTGTAAGAAATAACTATTGTAGCTCATACACGAGCCGCGGATTTCTGCTCACAGGCAGCAGGTCAGAATCTTACCCCAGTCATCTGCAAAAAAAACAAGTTTCAGCTTTAACTTGCTTTGGAAGTGGCTTCGCAACCCCCCAGAATAAACAGCATCAAATCAAAGTATGTGTCATCGTGCTGCACAGGCTTTCATAAGCCTTGTTTGGATGTTTCTTCCCCTCCCGACTTGCTCCCTTCTCCTCCCGTTGTTTGTGTACATGTTTTCCTTCCTTTTGTACTACAGGATATATTTATAAAAGCAGCGATAAGCAAACTCCCTTTCATTAAAACTAAACAAGAGACAAGCATCAGGAGGCAGCGAGGGGGCCGCAGAGCCGCAGCCCGGCCGCAGAGCCGCTCGGGAGGGCGGCAGAGGAGGGGCGGCCGCGGGGCTCCCCCGGCAGGGCCCCCGGCCCCCGCCTCCCCTGCAGCTCTGCTGTCACCCGTTCTACAACCACATGGTTACACAGCTTTGGGCAGCCCCAGCGCATCAACACAATCTGTATGCATTTAAACATAATTCATTTATAAGCCAAACACATGCTGGTTTTATGTTATGGTAAAGCGAAAGCGCAGTGCCACGGTCCCCAGCAAACCCAATGGCTCGCTCTCTTCTCCTGGCTCCTCTGGAAAGTGTCCTAGGAGGCACCCTCCCTTCTGTCTGGCTTGGAAGGCCCCTTCCTTCCACTGCAATGGCCTCTGCAGCACCTCATTTCTAGGGCACATCAGCAGCTCTGATGCACCACAACCATTCCTTGAACAATAACAAATTCTCTCTCAATGTTCTCAAGAAAAAAGAAAATCCAAATCAGAGTGATGTTATGAACACACAGCCTAGCAACTACATCTGGACTTGCTGATTTTTCCTGCATTTTATTTCCTCAACACCTAGCTAAACCATAGCAAAGCTTTTTTTAAAAGAATATTCAAGAAAAGGACGTAAAGAAATGTAAACAATCATTGAAGAAGCATTCTCTATCTGTCTTTTTCGTGTAAACAGCTTCATGTATCTCATGTTACTGAACCAAAACTGCTCAGAATGGGCACATCTCATCTATTGACAGTAAACAAGCTTTTACCCATCTGAACACGACAACACGCACTTTATTATTCACTCTTAGGAAAGCTGCCAGTTGTACTCCCTGTCCAGGAAGTCTGAATGTTTGCTTTTCTATCTCCATTTGCCAAATATAATTGGTTGCTATGTCAGTTTACTTTAAATCAGATCTCATAAAAAAGGGAGAGAAGTGGGGGAGGAGGGACACTTTTAACTTCTCAGATTTTGGAACACTTTATCCTCTTAATTTGCAGCACAGCCCGAAGAAGGGAAGCGCACTTCCTCAGAGAAGGCAGGGTCGGATGTTTTCTGTAACACACTTTACAAGGTTTAATGGTCACATTAACTAATCAGGCTTGTGCCTATCTCTCCTAAACACACTCAGTGAATCCACTAAGACATGTATTACATTGATACATATTTATATGGTTAAATTATGAAGAGTATCTGCATTCATGCACACTGCAAAACTTCTGCTTCTTTACAAGGCCCCTAAATAAATGAGGTCAATTGTGGCAAATGTCTGGTATTTCCCTTAGTTCTTCAGTGCTCTCCAGGCAGCACCAACACCTTTTGTGCCCTTTAACTGACTAGAGAAAGGATCAAAAATACTGAGTCTTTTTGCAGACAAGTCAGCTAAAACTCCTCCTCTGTTGTTCTGATATTAGCTTTCCTTCTCTCTTCTTTTACTACCTGTGTATCATAGGACATCTCTACTCTATGTCAAATTGCTTCAGAAAATCTAGAATTTTCTAAAGCACAGCTGTGATGCTTTGGCAGAAATTTTTCATTATTGAAATTAGCAAAAGCCCTACATGACAACACAACAATCCTTGCTCAATATCTGGAGATGAAATTCTACCTATTTTGTGGTTCCTTTCTGCTATGACCTGCTTGAGGTTTTACTGCTAATGGCCTATCAAGACAAACAAAAGAGCTCATTCACATAGCACCTTCTTTGTTAGCAGCAGAGACACACTAATAAAATTGTATCAGCAAATCTTACTACTAGCAAAAAGGTGGCCTTTTGCTGCATTGCACATAGCACTACAGCAACAAAAAAAACTTATTTCACACATCCAAGCTGCCATTCTCTACCAGCAGTAGCTTTTATCTGTGCTCTGAGTATCAGCAAAAGAGAGCTCTAGAATGAACTCATGTTTTCCAACCTTTTGTCTAAACCATATATTGGAAACTCAGTACTGCTCACAACAAAAGATGCAATTTCAGAACACGATTCAGCAATGCATAAATTCTCTAATGGCAAAAGACAGCCACTTTGTAGATAAAATTTGGATTATCTTTTTTTTCTTCCCCTCCTCAAGTCAATAAAAGCCTGCAGTGAGCTCTGAAATGTTTCCACTGCAGCTGGATTATCTTGTCTGCCACAGCAGTTGGCCTCTAAGAGGCTGTGCCTGCCAGAACCTCTGCTGCCTTTGCTGCAAGTTATGCTTTGTAAATACAAGACGCTATGCACAGAAAAATTATGTGCACAGGAACATAGGTGCACTTTCACAATCCTTTGAAAACCTGAACCAGAAAACCTCCTAGATAATTTTTATCATTTCTGTGATTCTCTAATCTGGTGAGTGACAGTGTCCCCTTTCTTTCCTATATTCATTTACTACTTTTTGTGTGACCTTTTTCTCCACTTATTTTCATCTCTCAAGCATAATGCCAGAGCAGCTGCCCTCTCCACTACTTGTATGTGGTCACCATGACTGATGTCCTTCACTAATATAATTCTTTCAATGGGATTGCTCCAAGTTCTACTGTTGTTGAAAGATTTATCTTGTTGGCTTCCCACTGTTCCTTGACTACTGACACACAACGTGTCTATAGATGGTTCTGTGTGTGAATACAGATTGAACTGCAACAAATGCAGCAGCAAAAGGTATTAATTTAACAATTAGTTAATTTTTTTTTTGTTAATAAAGGTTACTGATATGGGAATTACTTAACTTCCCACTTACTCACTGAAACAGCACTTACTTTTCTTCCACAATGTTTCAGTACTTATATGAGACAGAATTATACAATTTATACACATTATCACAAACTTTAAATTTTCCATGTTTGCTTAAGTTCCAAACAAGTTTCATACACAGCTGATGCACTGAGAAGTATTAAACTGCTTATACAAAAATTATTGCACTGCCACCTGGAAAAAATGCCATAGTTTTTATTTCCAAATTAACATAAGCTTCTAGGTCATAATATTTACAGAAGCTGTGACCCAACAGGGCCAGAATTCTCACTCCTAAATAGCTTCCATGAGGTTTCAGATGCAAGAAAAAAAACCCCTGCAGTGGGCTACAGGCAAATTTCAGTGCTCTAAAGCTGCACAGGCTTGGAGTAATTGACCTCACATTTTTCCCACCTCCCAGATCTTAATAGGGTCTCAGGAGGTCAAAAGTGGAAGTAGCTGGGACCCCAGAATACTCTAAGGATCCTGAGATACCCCATAACCCACAAGCAGCCAAGGTCACATGCTGGAAATCAAGGCTCCACCAGTGTCCAGTCCTTGCCTGGGTCATGCAACAGAAAGCTCCCCAAATGCCCTCTTCATTCAATACAGTCTTACATTTTTGATAATTTAGTTTAGCATGGGAAAAAATTCTGAGACACTGGAAAATTATCTGTTATTAAAGGCTGCACTAATTCAGACACATTCCTAAGTATTTGGTTGCACACAATTAAGATTACATGTGACTTCTAGCAATTGAAAACAGTAGTTGAAGAATGGAGTAAATAATTGTGGCAAAATTCCAATCAAGGCCCAAGAAAAATTTTCAAGTCTAGTTATACTCAGAATATATCTGTTCAGATAAAGCATTCTCTTAACCATTTGGCCCATGTCTTGTACACATCAGCCTAATGTAATAACTGTAAAAAAATTAATTCCAAAGTAGTATGGGAACCAAAAGGGATCCATTAACTGAAATATTACATAAATTCGAAATACAGGGATGTTACTAATGATGACACACAAGCCAGGAATACTCAGTTTTACTCATGTCCCAGGTGAGTTTCCAAGACTTGTGTTTAAAATTATTTAAGGAAATTTTAAACTGTAACACGTAACATCTCCCTTTAGGGAAGGGCGGGTATCATTGGGCTGGTGTGCAATAGAGGCTGATGGGAGGAGCTGCTGGAAGCTCCTGAGTAAGGAGAGAGAGCAAGGCGGTGAAAGAGGCCGGGATGAGGCGTGCTGGCTCCCTCCCGTGCGGGGCCACCGTACCTGTGCGCGAGTAGATGAACCAGAGCGCTCCGGTCAGCAGGGCTCCGATGACGAACGCGGCGAAGGCGATGCCCACCACGGTCAGCGTGTCCAGCCCGTACAGCACCGCTGCTCAGGGAAACACACACACAGGCACTGCTCATTTCACAGGCACAAATCCCACAGAAATTCACCCCCATGCTTGCATGGAAGAGCTTCTTGAAATTTCATCGTTAACTAAGCACTGCTTTGAGAAACAGACTGGCAGATTTGCATCAAGGAAATTAAAGTGATGCTTTCAGAGTGGCTTCAGTCCAACCAACTTTTCCACATCACAAACTAAAACTCCAGCTCAGCACACCCAAGTCTGGAAAATGTTGCAAAAATGAAGCATTTTTGGTTGGCTGTTAATAACTTGCTTTCAATTAAGTATTCATTTATCTTTAAATGGCTTTTAAAGATAAATCTTTTAAAAAGGCTGAAATGTTTGGCAAAAATGTTTTTCATTTAAATGGCTTAACATTCAGACAAACTTTCCCCTACATCTCCTCAAGTTCAGTCTGAAATCTAGGTGGAGAACGGAACTGCTGTTAAGAGGAAAGAGATGCCAGCAAAAAGTCAGCGAAAACATAAATAGAAACAATTGTTTTTCACATTTGGCAACGCTTTCAATAACTGAAATTAATTCCAGATCACAAAAATAGAAGCACACACACACGTAAATCACTTTCTAGGGGAGAGGCCCTTTTGTAGGACCATTTCAAGGGTAACAGCATTTGGTTCCTGGAGGTATTGTCCTCCAGTGTTAATCATCCAAACAGAAACATTTTTGGCCTCTGTTTTTTTATTTTTTATAATTAGAAATACTAAAAAATTCAATAATAATTCTGCAATCTTTTAGGGAAATTTCTTCTTAAAAAACTGATTTCTAGTTTTAGCATTTTTAATATTTCCCAGCGCAGAAAATTGCTTAGTCTAAGGAATAACATTTTACTGACTATGCTAGCCAGGAAATGAGCTGACTGGATCTTAGTAGGATCCTTCAGTGGAATTTTCAGTTCTCAGGACTCAACCAACACCCTCACTTTACACATCCAGAATCCAGCAGATGCCCCTAAGGACATCCCTGATCCTCTTTTGACAAAAGGCTTCTCCAGCAGCTCCTGTTGGCAAGGGCCTTCAGGACCCATTTCTGGGTACTTGTGACCTGGTTTGCATATACAACACCTGACAGATACTGTCTTAGAAGGTTTTTCTTTATTTATTTTTATGAGACTGTTTCTGGTTCCTTTGGCTACTTCTAGTCATTGAAATGCAAACACAAAAGACTATACTCAACAGTTTTTTCCACCAGGCACCAGTCAGCGTCCTCTCCTCTTAGGAGGAAACAGAGTGGAGAGAAGAAAGTTGCATGGAGAAGTGGAAGAAGCATAATTGCTCACCACCTTTGCTATTTTGAACAAGTTTAGTCTTGAAGACACAGGGACAGGAGAAGAAGAAAAACGTTCTTTACACTGCTCTTTAAATCTCCCTTTTCTCCATTCATTCTTGCTTTTGGCTACACATCATCTGCACCTTCCTGTTTATTTTCTTCTAGTGCTGCTTCTGTCCTCTTCTGGGTCACTAATGAACCCTGATTCATTCACTACACCAAGATAACATGGAAACCAAAGCAATGAATCCATATCAAGGCAGTGATCTCACGTAAGCATGGCCTGTACGTGCTGGTGCTGGAGCACGTGGGGCTGTGGTGCAGGTCAGGAGTGAGGCCCAAACAGGACACAGGCAGGGCACAGAAGCTCTGAGGGATGGCATTGCTGCTCTAACTCTGCTCTTGGGAAGCAGGGGCCTCAGCAGAGGGGGCAGATAACACACACACCAACTCATCAACTTGCTAGGGCTGAGACTCTCAGTGGTGTTTCCCCAAACCTGATTTTCACATACGCAAAAGGTCACAGTCCTCTCCTGAACACGGATGGGAACCTCTCAATCAACAGTACAGCTAGAATTCTGTTCTGTCACTGAATTAAACATGCACACACAGAGAAAGATTGAAGAGAATTTTCTTAATTTATCTAATGGTTTATAGACAAAATTTTAAAGATGAAAAGAGATTGTTTTAAGAGTTACTTACGTGGCTGTCTCACGTTTGGCTTTGGAAGGGACGGATCTAATTTAAAACAAAGAAAATGCACAAAACATCAATCAGAGAGTTCCACATGCAGCCTGCAAACTATGCAGGTTCTGATCTGACAGATCATTAACTGTAATTTTTACAAACCATGAATTTCAAGAAAAGCAGACCAAATTCAGTAATCTCACTCATCTCAGAAAAATTCTTTTCATAAATTAATTATTCCTCAAGGGACTCTATCTACAGTATAGTTCATGCACTGTATATTTTGCTGGCAAATACACTGCAACCTTTCCCAAATCAGATGTCATCAGGCATGACCCACAGTAACTCTGGTTACCCCTCTGTGGAACTCTTAAAATTCACAGATTGTGAAGGAACAAAGACTGTGTTAAGGTGATTACATTCATCTGACCACTCACTAATCATGACATACCAGCACTGAATCACACACTCACACAAAAGCACACACTCATTGAAGAATAGTGAGTTTTATAGCACAATACATACTGCTTTGTCCAAATTGCATGAATATGTGTTGATTCACCCATTTTCCTGAGTCCTACATAGTATTCAGTCTTGGAAGTTCTAAGTTGTGTGGGTTTGGTGGTTTTTTTGTTTTGTTTTGTTTTTGTTGTTGTTTGTTTGCTTTTCCTTTTTGTTGTTTTTTTCGGGGGGGAAGTTAAAAAATTTGTATATAAGAAATAGAAGTTCATAGGTATTGTTCAAAGATCAAAGATATTATTTTAGGCAAGAATATCAAATATCATCATCCTAGTGATAAAGATATCACCCCATAACAGAAAGAGACAAATGTTTAAAAAAATGAAGAATTTCCCCTCCTTTTTCTTAACTGCCCTCTCTTATCTTTCTCCAAGAATGCCACTTCAAGCAGAAGAGCTAGAGATTCTGGCTTCAGACCCAGGGACCTGTTTGGTTAGCTGCAGCTTGATTCTGGATTGCCCAGCAACTCAGGGATTTAGTTTATATTCTGGCATATGTGAGTGTGATCAGTGTAACAGATGTAGAAGGATTTGATAAGACTGTATTTCAGTACTTGGTTTTGTATCTTCAGCAACTGGAAAAAATAGTTTAATTCATTTCAATGCAAACATAACAGCCCAAGAATACTGAAAATATATATATATTCATTTATTTAAAGTGTTCTTAAATAAGACTATGCTTCTAACTTCTAAAACCCAGATGGCAGCACCAAACTTCCAGCAATATCCTTTAGACCATTAGGCCCTGAGAGACATGTGCCTACAAAAAGCATTTTATGCTTAAACTATGTTATTGTGCCTTGTTCTAACACATGAGTATCTCTTGCAGATCCCTTTTGGCAGATGGTCCAAAACAGGGTGAACAGTAGTAGGAAAGAGGTGAGGACATAGAGGGTGTGTAGGGTAGTATATGCACAAATAATCTGGAAAGTTATCAAGTGCTCATAACAGCAAAAATACAACTGAATGTAAGATCTGCAAGGAAGGCCAGACTGAAACTGTAAAGTACAAACATGGGTAAGGGCACTGTCAGATTGTCCAAACACTCCACTGGCATATCCCAAGTGCCAAGAAAATGCCTTCTGAACTGAGGGGAAAATGAATTTTCCATGCTATTTCTATCACTGGCCTCTCCACAGAGAAAATGAAATCAGCTAATGATAAGCTGTGTAGCCCATTATCAATTCTCTTCAGACATCCAGTTCTTAAATGTATTTTATTGTGATTTGCTCAGAGCAACTCAGTGAGAATCACTGAAGTCTACAAAACCCATCTAATTTAAAAACAGGGGCTGACAGCCTTTAGAATTATCAACATTTTCTATACCTTTGTAGGATAGAGGCACTTGTTAATTATCCTTTTGACCTTCTTTCTATGACCTGTCTGGTTTTGTGTAGAAATAATAATCTAAAGTTTCCACACTTAGCAAAAACCTGAACAACACTGGTAGATTATTTCGACAGAACATGTATTTCCTACCATATAAATGGCCATCCATGTGCCTTTCATGGGAGTGGGACAGAGCATGGGGAAATGCAGGAATGCAAAGGGAATGTATGTGGCATGGAGTTAGGTTTTAATCACCTCCATTGAGATCAACTGCAAATTTTCATTCAGATATAGCATTGTGATTTCTAATACAGGCAATGGCAGTTATAAGCTTGTCTGAATAAAAAAATCACCTTTGCAATGACCAGTTTGTTCAGACTTTTGCAATGTCAAGCCCATGACTTTCACGTGTGGCTTGATAAGGAGAACCAGGGGCAGTACCTCACATAGAGTGGTTTGAAATAGTAAAAGCTGGTTCTGTTTACATCAAAGAAAATTTACCTCTGGGGGGTAAATTCTCCTGTTCAATAATGTGATATAATTTCTTCTCCAAATCTTATGTTCATGTACTGGCCAACAATGGCATTTGGCTTTAAGAAAGGGGTTTTGATTCACTGCAGAACTGCATACCAACAAAGCTACATTGTTCATGTGCCACTTGGTATTTTGTCTGAAAGCTGGGATATGCTGGGAGGATTTCCACCAAGAGTCCTACAATTATACCAAATCACCCACAATGCAACAAAATACTCTATCACACTGTTGTCCTGTAAGTAATCTTTATAAATTTAGCTTGTCTTTGCACACTGAGACCTTGTGCCTCTGACAAAGACAACATTCTGAGCGGAGCCTGAGATGGGAGCTGTGCACAATGCTCCACACATCATAAGGACAAGAGAGCTGAAGTACGAGTCTGTTTAGTGAAAGACGAATTTCACTTGCAGGATTTACTCATTCCCAATAGAAAATCTACTGAAATAATATGAGAGCTGAGCAAAATGGGAGTCCAAAATCAGGCCCAAAGTATAGTTTTAATGGTAACAGCAACAGATCAAATACTTGACTTTAAGTCATACTGGATTTGGTCTGTATTAACAATTTTGTTAAAACCTTCCAAACTAAATATGAGCTGAATTGCAGAGCTAGACAGAAACAGTTGTTGTCTATGTCCCTTAGCAATGCTGTATTTGAACTTTAAATTGTTCAAAGACTAACAGCATGCACTGTAAAACAGAGATTAAATGACTCCTGATCACCACCCTTTTGATGCTCCCTGAAAAGCATTCCAGAGGTCAAACAGCCTTTAGACACCACGAAGATTTTGATGTGTATGGGAAGCCGCTGAAGCTTCTTATGAAACGTCAATGCAAATACAAAAAGAAAAGATAAATGAACATATTTTCTTCCAGGACTGCATCAAAACATGACTGATGCTCTTGTCAGAGTGATCTACTAAGAAAAACTTATTAATTAAATGAAACGGAGAACAGTTCTTACTTCTCATCACTCACAGGGCATATTCTTAAACTAGAATAAGGTCCCATCATGCTGTTTGGCATTATCTCATAGTGCCAAACTTCAGCCTCTCCAACTCCTTCAGTCAGTTACTAACCACACTTTTTTTTTTTTTTTTTGCCAAGAGAGATTACATAATCAAACAAGTCCCACTAAAGTAGAGCCCCTTTTGTGCATACTATCCTTTGCTCTTCATAGTTCAAGAATGTAGTGAGTCTCCAGGGGCCACCTCTTTGCCTTACAAACTTCTCAGGCTTTAAGATCCTCAATACTTTGTGATTCTATTGTTATTATTCATAAATTGATATTTACAAGCACAATAAATAAAGGACACAGCAGGGAGCACAAGACTGCCTTTGATCTCTGGGCAGCAAGAAATTGCTCCAAATGCTACTGCTACATTCATACTTCCAAAGCCCATGTTATTCTGTACTACTTTGAGTATTCCTCTCTCAATGCTCAGCAAACCCACACGTCCAGAAAACAGTAACATGATTAAAAAATGGCTGTGACTTGGCCTGATGACTGCTGCCAGGGAAATGTCCTAACAAGTAACATCTTACAGACACAGCACCAGCACAAGGTTATACAGTGTCACATGCTCCCTCATTTCAAGTGACTATGTTACACAATATTCTATATATATATAGCATTATTAAACAGGTCAAGCTCATTTTTATACCTTCTTGTTTTCCTTCATGTGTTATTACAACAAGGGGCTTGGTGAAGGTTTTCTTGTTGTGCATCATAGCCAGGATCATATCCACGTTGAGAGAAGTGCAAGCTTCATCAGGAGGAATGCACTGGAGTGCAAAGAACAGAGGTCAGAGTCACCCATCTGCCAGTGGCACAGCTGCCTCATAACCAGCTTACCCTACACAATTTACCAAAAAATGAGAACCTCCAAACAACCTTATCTTTTGTAGCAATCAGATTACAGTATTATCTAATATGGTGCATGTCTTTGGAAATTAAAGCTTATATTGCGTGTGCTTTGGATATGCATTGAAAAGATAAACTTGAACCACTTGTGCAGTAAAAAGCAATTTCTATTTGTAGCCCCCTAAAGAAATTTAAGCAGCAACTGCAAATTATGTAGTCAAAATGCACAGTATAATAACTCTTATCTACTAAAACTCTGAGCCTAGAGATATCATGTTCATTAGACAATTCCATAGAAAGCTATTTATTATCTTCAGAGTTCAGATGAAGAAATACACTGTTTTTATCTAAATCAGGAGTTATGATAAATTACATTAATTACTGACCTTTGGAAGTCCTTGAGTATCTTTGTCTTTATTTGTACACAAAGTCAGCTCGCAGTGAAGAAAGAGCAGTGAGATGTTGAACATTGGTTTGAACACAAAGCTAAATCTTTTTCTGTCCTTCTGTGCATGTGGTATTGGAAAATCCTTTTTCTCAATACTGTAGAATTTAACAGATTCATCTTTAGGACAAATATTTTCTATAATGGTATAGTCAGACATTCTATCTGGATTTGAAAACGGGGAAACAAAGCACGTTTGAATAGCAAAGCCCAACGATCTGTCAGCTTTAGTCACAGACACCTGCATTAAAGAAAGAGACAGTAAGATCTCAGAAATGACATTTTTAGTTCACATTTCATTAATATTTTCAACAATTTTTTAAGCAGTTTTCCAGTGCCATTTCCAATCTGAAGTATTTTGAAGGCTAAATGTTAAGGATAAACTGTCAAACCGAGAGACAGAAAATCTGTGGTTTCAAAACCAGCAGCTGTTTAATGGCATAACCATGCATAAATACAGCAATCCCTTATCTTTCTGAAAGCAGATGAACCCCCCCCAGATAAGACACACAGTAATGTCTGCGTCTGCCACCTGAGATGGCACTGCCTCCCTTAGACACACAGGCTATAACAGACCTGTATGGAAATCAATCACTAATTCTATGGTTTTGTATCTGTTCAAAATTATAATGAAAATAGGAAAAAAAAAAAAAAAGGCAACAGACACAACAGAGAATCCACCCCCAGCCAAGAGAGGAATGCAAAGGCAGAGAGGAGGTCATGGTCTGATGTGTGGGTGGCATTCCTGGGCTGGAGGGGGTGAGGGAGCCTCCTAAAAAGCCGTCATTTCTTGTGAAAGGATCCTTTTAGCTTATTGTAAGTTTGAAATTCATATTCTTTTATGAAAAATAATTAAGACTGAAAGCCTCCAGTGCCCTGATGTTGCTCAGCTGGATTGGAATGCAGACAATAAATGCTACAGAATAATTCAAAGGAGAAAATAAATGGAATTTGTAACAAATGAGGCATGTTGCTCTTAATAAACAACAGAAGCATTTATCCAACCATTAACACTGCCCAATGAAACAGTTCCACAAGAAATCTTCTTAAAAGAAATGTGCCTTATATGCATATTTAATCCATATGTGCTGCATGTATCTTTAAGGAAGAGCCTGCCAAATTGTGTGGTCTGTGCAGTAATTTCTGGACGCTACGAGTGTTGCTGTGAATAAAAGAATTTCTCCTTTTTTCTCTCCCTTATGTGAGCAGCAATCAAATTAGAGAAGAAGGAATGTGCTGAAGCATCTAAGCAAGAAAGATTATCTTCTAAAAAGAACAGAAATAAAGATGGATGAACAAAAGTCAGCCACAGATACTGACAGGAAACAAGCCGATGGTGTAAACTAATTAAGAAATAGATTATGGAAAGTAGGACAGGCATACTACAGTAATTTAAATAAAAAGATTAATGATATCTCAAGGAAAGAAAAGAAACACAGGAGGAAGATGGAAGATCAAAATATGGTAAGAAAACGACAGCAGAGAAGAAAGAATAAAATTCCAGAATCCAAAAGATTCAAACAAAAAACCCCTTACCAAACAAGGACAACGGAGATATAGAATTTTTACCAAATACGTATTTATCAAAACCCAAAAATATTTTTCTTAGTAACAAATGCAAAAGAGAAACAAAAAAGAGGGAAAAACCCCCAGAGTCATCTTAAAAAATGGAGTCACTGAAGTTCAAAACTGATATGTTTTCCACTGTGCAAGAAAGAAAAACAGAATAAAAAGGCTTTTGCCAGGAAAGGTGATGAAGAAATCAGAACATCTGTCTGAATAAACAGCTCCAGCAGGCTCAGAGTCAGGGGGATTCATCCCAGATCAGTGAAGGAAGTGGATGGTTTTAAGTGTTTGTTATAAAAATATTCTTAACTGAGTGTAACAGACTTTATTTTTGCTTTAGCTGTCTTAAGTACTTTGCACTGGGTAGAGAAAAAATAAATGAGAAAGGACACTGTAATGAAGAAAACTGCACCAAATGGATCACTGTGCTTATCATGTGCAACATGGGTTCCCAAAGAACTGGCTTAGGCAAGAGAAACACAGAACAGCACTGCTGCTTTTTCTTGGTCTTACAACCCCATAGCTCACACCTTATGATTTACTTGCCTAGAAACTGGCAATACTTCTTCATTGCCAAAGCTACATTTATTAATGTCTACCACTATTTGAAAATCCAAAATTCTGTTCACATAGCTATCTTTAAAAATACTGACTGTAGTGGTGTGAAATTCCACACCAATTCCACAGATTTCATAAGCAACTCAGCAACACACGGAAATATTGTGCAAAATGTACCTGAAGTCAAAGCTGTTGATTTTGTTTCAGTGTTATTTACTGAAATCTGCTAGATCTCTTATGTGGCAGCATTCAAAAGCATTATAACTGATGTTTTTAAGCAGACTGGAGAGAGACCACAATTTGTATTGACTGTGTAACCTGAGAACACTAGCATATGAAAGACACACATTTGTAATAATTTTTTACATGTCTACTACATCTTTCAGACAAGGTTCAGACACACACAATAAAATGAACCCATCAGGACATGCCAGTTCAGAGCACAAGTTCAGAAACCATCTTAAAGTTCGGTATGGAAAAGCAGATTTAGGAAGAATCATCAATCTACCTTGTAAGTTAAATTCATCCATTTTGCAAGATCCTTTGGATTTTTTACCCAAAGTATTGTCCTACTTCTTATCCCTCAGTTTCTGTTCTCTGCAGGCATCAGAGAGGCCTGAACCAGCTGCCCAACAAAACCTTTCAACTGACAAGAACAGATTTGGCTCAGCTGCACAGCCTTGCAAAACCCTTCTGCTAATTTGAAGACGTTTTCAGTTTGTTACCTCTACATATACTGGCCCATTCTTGGCAACAGAGAAGAGTCCTTGGGAGGGAGCAAGGAATAAATCTGTTTTGTACAGATCCATGTTGAAGGTCACATTGGTGATGTGAGGTTCAGGAGGCCAGAAAATGCCTCTGTCATCCTCTGGCTGGTGCAGTGTGCAATTAAACTAAAATGAGAAAAAAACACAGTAACATCACGAGTCGGGGTGGTAGGACACATTTCTTGTGTACAATATAGGCCCACCCACGCTACACCTACTTAATGCAAATCTTCAACAGGGTCATGAGAAACAGTAGTGAGAAGAAATGTGTTTTAAAGACAAATAAATTTCTAGACAATTAAAGTAATTCATGTGAAAGGCCTATTACAGTAGGTATTTGTTCATCATCAGGTGCAAAACCGAGGGTAACATACCGCTATTTCAGGCCAGCTTGAGAAAGGCACCTCTCCCTCATCAGCATCCCCTGGAAATCCATTATCACCTGATTCCATGTCCTCATCTTCTAAGCCACTGCCTTCAGCTGGTGCTGACAGCTGAATGACAATCTGCACAGAGAGGGATTGCAAACAAATTAGATTAGGTGATAACCCAGCACTCTCACGCTTGTTATTTTCTGCTCTCTTCAGAACAATGCAAAGGCCACAAGAAGAGCACCAGCTAAGAAAATGGTGAAAGCATGTCTTGAACAGCCTTGTGCTGAGCATGTAGGATATGCAGCTTATAATTAAAGAACGCCTGAGTTTTTTTCCAGATTTCAGAGCCAGTCAAGAAGGACACCATTCTGGGTGTTGGTGTCTGAATGAGCAGCCCAGCATTTCCATTCTATTTCTAGTATTTCTATAGCCAACACTGAAAAAAGAAATGGTTTTTTAAAGTGATATTTTGCTACTAGCAGTTCTCCTTAGTGTACTCATAAAAAAAACCCACTAAAAATGTTAGGGTCGCTACAGGATTTTCTCTTCTGTCATCAGCAATTTTTTTTCAGACATGTACACCCAAAACCATAATATTACTTCCTCATTTTCTTCCAATTTTTTCACTGAATTATCTCTTTTTTTTTAATCATCCTTTTCATATGTCTTCATTTCTTCACCTGGAAATTTATAGTTTTGTTTTCCAGTGTTCTGCATTTTGCCTCTTTAAGCTTGCAGCTTCTCAGCTAGTTTCTATTTCAACTTTGTTTCCTTAGACTTAGAGCAATTGCTAAAAAATGACATAAGCACACCCTTTTACACTCCACTGCAGGGTGTCTGCATTTTAGGAGAAACGCTCCCAAATTCTGAACAATCCCATACCTCATTGGGAGTTCAAGTGTATAGCCAGGACCATTAAAAGACATGATGGAGAAAGGAGAGGAGGTAAATAACCACTTTACTTTGGGCCATAACAGAATACAGGGACCATGAGAGTACTTAACTCTAGACCTGTGCTCTTCTGTCGTTTGCTGAAAATTCTATCTTGGTTTGGGACTGTTTCTAAAGTTAGGTGCTACTGATTCCCCAGCATAGAACAGTTGTAACCAGGCAGGGTCAGATCAGATTGCCCGAGCTGTGTTTGGGTTGGACCACAGGCTTTCCATCATTTGCCAAAGTTATTTCTATGTACTGGAAAGCTCAGCGAGAGAAACGTGTCATTACTTTTGAACCCAGAATATCTGCACTCTACTCTGGCTCATAAGCTGAGCCAATCTGGAAGCAGTTGATTACAACCTAACTGGGCTCCTTTGCATCACCACTCATCTACAAGTACTCAAGAGTCCCTTCATTACGTATAGCAACTGCTAAAAAAAATATAAATTCAAATTGTAAGAGAAAAGCATGCAAAAATAATGTCGTTGCCTCACATTTTAAAATTTTACACACAATTTTAGAAGAAAGACTTCACTTAATTCAGGGTATGGATTTAAAGGTAGTGCTCTGTGCAATTACAAAACTTCACTCCTGTTTCTCTTTACAGCAATGTATTACTGTTTATGTATGGATGATCAAAGCTGCACAGGGAGCACCAGTGCAACTTCTCCCAGACTGGTACAGATGGTCCCCAAAGGGCAGCCGTGTTGTAAAATGTATTTAACTCCAACTCCTCTGTTTTCCTTTGGGATACTATCTGACCACTGGAGCATACTGAATGTGCAGCCTTCCTACCTTCTTGAATACAGGACTGCGGCTGCAACTGAGCTAAGCAGGAGCGATCAGGATGCCTCCCTTTTGCCAAGACTAAAGCTAACTGCAGTGGCTTCCCTGTACTACTGCGATGTGCAGTACAGAAGGTGGATGCTCCTTGTGAGTACTCACAGAGTTAAAATAGACAATCTTGTTGAAGATGTATGCTGTCCGAGTGCCGCACTTGTTGAGCGAGGACTCCAGGATGAAGTGGGTGCCGTTCGTGCTGGCTTTGCAGGAGTGGTCCAGCAGCGAGAGCTCGGTGTGGGCGTGGCCACCGGCCTGGAACAAAGGAGCTTTGTCAGGGTGAGCAGCGCTGGGCTCCTCTGAATGCGGCTCAGCACTGCCGGGCTGCTGCAAGGGAAGCTCATTGTGCTGACAGCCAGGCAAGGGCACTCCCAAAATGCTCGTACACATGGCACACAAGGAATAAATGTAACATGGAAAAAAGGGAAACAACAGGTTCATTATTAATCTGCTGATTAATAATGCTGACTCTGTTTGTACTGAAACGAGCTAAAATGCCGTTTCAGGCTCTTTTCCACAATACAAATGGACACAAGCAACCTATCATGGTAGATGGTAAAGTCAGATCTTTACATCTGTTTAGGTCTCACACTGCTGCCAAAAGCAGCTTCTTTGGAAATTAAAAACTCAGACTAATGGTTGAGTACAGTAATTTTTGAAAACCAACCATGCACACCTTCAATCAGAAATCCCTCTAAAAACCACCAGATTGATGGGAAGAAAAAACACTATCCTGAGTTATGGCAAAGAAGAATCACAGTACAGTTTCCTCACCAAACTATTTTGGGGGGGGTTGTGTGGTGATAGCTATAGGACTTCGAATGCTTATTTTTTCAATCAAAATGCAAATAAAATGGGCTGTCCAAAAAAGCCTCCCCAGTTCTGAGAATAAGATATCACACCAACCTGTAAAGAATCTTTTTCTACAGCTACTGTCATAACTTTGTCATCACACTTTATTGACAGGGCCATATCAGCACTGCCCTGAACTTCTTCAGGTTCTTTATGTTTTGAGAGGGAATGCCCGAAGTCATGATTGATTAATGTATCTACTGAATGCCTGGATGGGAAGATTTCTTCTCCCACTGTGTCATGTCTTCCTCTGTTAATGTGAAATGGAAAAGTCAGGCCATCATTATTCTTTGGAGCTGGCAGTGGGTTAGCACCCAGCAATTCTGTCAGCTCTGGAGGAAGGGAATGGTCTTCTTCATCATTCATCTCTTCTAAAAAAAAAAAAAAACCAAAACCAAATAAATCCACATTAGTTTGTTAGATATTTTTCCTAAAAAGTATCCTGAACTAATAGGTGTCATACAAGAAATATTATCCATAAAGGGAGCTCCTAAAACCATTTAAAGCAGCATCTTTGCACTTGTCAGGTAGGCAGTCACAACTCCTACAACTAAGAGTTTAGTTGTTACTGAGGCATCTAATCTTGGTGTACTTAGTCCCTGTCAGAAACCTCTCTCACCAAGAGCGGAAAATAAACTTTTGAAGAGTGGACCTATTATATGTAAAAGATCCAGCAAGATAATAGAAACATCACATTCATCAAATATACTGTTTTGGTACTGCTCAAAGAGCCTAAGTGCAAATCATTAGGTGAAATTCTTCCACTACCTGACCCATCAGAAATTCAGTCACTACTGTTGTGAAACTACTTATATAACCAGAATGAAGCTAAATAAGAGTTAACTTTAGAGTGAGTAAATGAGGAAACTGTATCTCAGCTTATACATGTGACTGCTGAGGACAGAGCCCATGAGAGTGCAATTGATAACATGAATGTGAACATAAGCTTTATCAAAATTGTAATCCAATATTTTTAGTGGTTGAAACTCAGAATTAGTGAAAAAACAGATGCTACTCTGCTAGCTTCAATGGACACACATCAGCAATTACTTTGGCCAAATACCCATTCCTTTTTCAATAGGTGTATTGATTCTGTTTGCTCAGACTTTTTTGGTAAGCCACTCATGTCTGTAAACAGTTTCAATGTTTATTTAATCATCTCAAGGAAACACTATGCTCATACTTTCGGAAAAAACACACTAAAAGAAAAATCAAAGCTGGATTTATCAACTAGCAAGATATCCAGTTGCTGACATCTATTTCAGTGAACACTGGGTACACCATCAGCTATGAAGTCTTGGGCATTGGATAAACTAGAAACATTTAATTCCACCAAATTTCAGGAAATATCACAACTTTGCCTGGACTTCTCTAATCAAAAAGCCACAGATTATTACTTGCAACCATCATTCATAGATATTACCAGCATTCCTGATGACAAGCAGTAAAAGAAGTGCAACAGCCAAAACCAAAGCTTCAAAACTGAGGAAACACCATTTAAGTAATTGTATTCCTAAAACCACAAGATATGCTTTTTCTATATGCTAAAAGTTCATCTTCAAACTTACCTATATCTTCAAGTTGCAGATGAAATCTGTTAGCAACAGGTGCTTTTGTGTAGGAAATAACTGGACTGTAATTATGCTCATAAGCCCACTTGATCAAACTCTCATGTGATGAGGGAAGGTCAGGTATTACTGATTTACTCATAGTCATGGATCGTTCTGTTTCTTTTCCAAAACCAATACTATTTGATGTCTGTAAATAAAGAAAAACTTGGTTTTTTATTTACCACTTAAGGATAATTACAGTGGAATAGTGACACAGATTGAACCTTGATCTTTTATTCTGTTTTAATCTACTAAGTAACAGCAAACTGAGGACACCTGGGAAATAAAGCAAACCCTGCCACCTTAAGCACATAACAGCTGCACAGATGGAAAAGAACTCCCTGCTTCTTCTCAGCCTCTGCCTGGAGTACAGTAAATCAAGGCAATCAGAAACTGTTCATCCCTAACCGAGACAGGGACATATTTACAGCCTTTTGTATAAGGCCATACTTGCTTCAAAACTGATCTGAAATTACTCCTGAACTCAAGATGACAAATGAATTTGCAAATGTCTCCTAATTTCTTGGATGAGAGCATTACTTAAGTTGGATAAAGGAAAACCTTTGTTCAAATGAGCATTACTGAAAAAGGCAAAAAGCATGCTCATGGAGCTGATAGCAGCTAATGCTGTAAGTCAGCTGGCACCAAGGACAGGCTGTGGCTGAAATGAGCTTCACCCTAGAAATGCTGTGTGCCTTCTCCAAAGTAGAGTTTGTTCAACACAATTGAATTAAACACTCAACAGAGCACTAAGTGAGAGCATGCACATTTATGCATGGCCAGACTACATAAAAAACAACGTTTACTTTCTGTAAATGAAGAGATTTTAAAATTAATTAACAATACAAATTTTACACAAATACATCAATACAGCAAACTCATAAATGCACATGCTGACCTTATGAACGACATGCTAAATTATTAAATAAATAAATGAGCCACACAACCACTCAATTTTCATTTTCCTGTAATGTTTTGTAAAATTTCAAATTTTTTTGTCCAAACAGGCAAGTCAAAGGAATACAACAAGTATCTCTCACTGTTAGAGAGGCAGGTTGAAAATATTCACTCGTATTACACAAACATGTATTCAGCAGCTTGGTATCTTTAACATGTATTCATTCACACCAAAGCTAAATACATATACATTTATTCTTACAGTCACAGCATTACTGTGATCACTGTAACAATCACATCAATGGCTGCAGAACAAGCTGAACATAGATGCAGCAGCAAAGGCACCATGACCCACTTTTCAGCCATTCCTGCAATGTGATTGAAATGCACTTTCTAATGCAGCTGATACCATGGAATGTTCCATGGTATCAAACAAACACTTTCATTCCCATGCTTAATTACCTTCTCCATCATATAGACTGCATCTTCTTTTCATCCCCACTGGTTTTTCCTCAATGAGAACAAATCAAATCTTTCACTCTGGAACACCAGAAGATTGACTAGAGAGATCTCTCTCAGTGCTCCTATGGACATGCTACACAGGTCAGAGGGCTCAGCTGTACTTCCCTATCTGACATCAAAGTGAATTATTGAACTAAGAAGTTCATATTAATAATATAATAATAATTATATATTAATATAATAATAATATATAATATTAATAATAATTATTATAATTATTATTATATTAATAATAATATAATATGAATAAAGCATGCAGAGAGCCCTGATAGAATGGCATAGTGTACCTTTAGCTCCCTCCCTCATTTTTTCCTAAGGACCCAGTTCTGCAGCCTTTAAACACTTGGGGCTTCACAACTGAAGTTAAAGATAACTGAGTACAGAGCACCTGGTTTGAGGATACTGTTACCAGAGCAGTTATCAATGCTCAGCAAAGGTCACTGAAGATAAGAAGAAAAATGGAGCAACAGGTATCCTAATTTTAGTGCCTCATGACTCTTTGGGATCAACTGATCTTTGATTTTCAACAAGGTGCAAAACTGGACACAACTGATCACATATTTTCATATTAACACACAGCTTTGACTGGTAGGAGTTATTATGCTAACCCAACTTTGCTGCATCTCTTTACTTTTCTGTCACAAGCAGACAGCTGAACAAATATTATCTCAGAACTTTACTGTCCTAGCTGGCACCTGAACATTTCCAGGGCTTGTTTCCACCCCTCCACTCCACAGTGAGCCTGTAAATGTTCAGTCTTGCATTGCCCCACTGAAACAAAAGCGAGGGCTGGCAGGAATAGACCTCCCTTCACTTGCTGCCCCGCCTCACACACAGTGACTGAAACCAGGCCATCTGAGCCCACAGCTGTCTGTCAGAACAGACACCATTTCAGAAGGTGCTGGGCAGCTGTTCTCAGGTAAGCAACCACCCCTCCAGGCTTCTGAAACCTTCAAGGATTTGTTCTGTGCATTGCACCTCTCTACTCCTTGCCCATAAACTTGTTTTCTTTCTGGAGCTTCACTGCACAGTTCCCAGCTTTGCAGAGGGACAGCAGCTGCAAAGGAAGCAATGTGAGCAGCAGTGTGCAAGCACAGAACCACACAAGCCCTGCATGTAAGGACTGCACACAGGAGTTAAACACAGCCCAGAAGAAAGCACTGCACACACATCAAGTGCAATTGATTTACCTAAAGTCCTCCCATTTTCCTTGGGTTTGTGTCCATCCCCTTGCAGAGTTCCAAAAGACACAGCAAGCTGGGAGATGAGCTGTATGACTTACAACATCTTTCTCTTTTTTTGTCTGTGAACTTGGACCTCAGTAATTTACAGTACTGGGTTTGAGGCAGCTTAGCACTAACCTTCCCCTCTCAGCCTGCCAATCCCCTCAAGACAATTCTAATTCGTAGTGAGGGCAAGAAGTTAGGAAAATTGAAGTGCATGGAACTGCTTCAACTAATAAAAAGAACATTGTGAAACATTACCTAATTGCTTAGTAATGTTTTTATGCATTGTCTAAATTTGGGCTTGGAAAGGCATTCAGCTTAATAGAGATATGAAAAGATGCTAAATGCTGGATTTGCAGGCTTTTTAATGACATGGGGGAGTTTAGTTCACTCCCTTAGCCCTTCCAAATAAAGGAAAAAGAACAAATATTCAGAAAATGAAGAATTTATATAAATCAAGTAGTAAACTAGTTACTCAAAATCCTAACATGAATCCAAAGTCTTTTAAATACTGACATTTCTGTATGTATTTAATGTATTACTTTCTCTTTTCGTTAATCTAAATAAAATATTACTTTCTGCCACTCATTACAGAAACTACTTTTAATTATACTTTTAACTTATATTACCAATAACTAATAAAGAAGAAGTCTAAAAATAAAGTTTTTTAAGCAGTCTGCTTTTCTATATTCAAATGCAGCGTTTTAGAAATTTTAAAAACCTGTAGAAATTGTCTTGTGAAAATTGACCATCCACAAAGTGACAGCTTTATGGACATGAAATACCACGTGAGCTGTTTCCTAGCATGGTGTGAACTAAAGCCCAATTCTATCCGGTGAGAGTAGATCCATATATGCCCAAATATACAGTGGTGAATTTTATGCCATAACCTAGGATGAAACTTTGAAGTCAAGCCTTTTTTTCCATCATTCTGCTTACAAGAGTGGTAATCCTCAGCAACCAAACTTGACCTTTCTCTTTAAGGACTATTTCAGACCTACAGAATGACCAGAACATCCTCTCCTGTCTGTAAGATAAAATGTGTCAGGGGTCAAGAGGGAACTTCATCATCCACCCTAGATAATTTTTCCATTAAATTTTCTGAGCAACACCAAAATTAGCTTTCCTTTAATTCTCTTCACTCTTCAAAGCTACTATGAAACCCTTACCAAACTATTTTCTTGGGAGATTTAGATCAATTAGCCTTTGCATTCTGCCAGAATTTCCTCTGCACAGATTACAAGCAGAAAGCAACTAAGCAAAGGAAAATTGCTCTAAATACCAAGAACTGGAGTTTGAAAATGTAACTGAATTGCTGCAAAATTGCTAATCATGAGGCTCATGGGTGGTCCTGAGCAAACATTCAGCTCAACTGTACAGTGTGCTCTTAACTGATCACTTAATATGGAAATAGGCCACAAATGTATAGGCTGCAAGAACAGTGCAATTATATTTATTTGAGAGCAAGGGAACACACATTTTCTTAGTAGAAAGTGTGTTAAGCCACAAAGCCTGTACCAAAAATCAACATGAATCAGCATCTCCAGGAACTGAAGAAGTTTAACTTTAGAGAGTCCGGTTTTAACTTTAAAAAACGATTATTTTTTGCTGTCTGAGGAGAGTTAGGTCAATTTAACCAAACACTTACTGGAGACAGAAATACTGGCAAGGAAAGGGGTAGACACTACTACAAGCACAAGCAGAAGTAATGGAGTTTCCACTTCCAAAGGGATGTGGGTGTGTGCTGCATATCTAGTATTATCTATTCTGCACTTGAAGGCATTGTTCCAACCTATGACATGAACCTGTTGATCCATACACCAAAGTAACAGCAAAAAGAGAAATGAACATCCTACTCTGTGTTTAGGATGCTTCAGCAGATATCAAAAAGACACAGACTAAATCCTTGTTCTAACCACCTGGCTTCTGCAATGTGTTGGTCAGTTTCACAGCCCATATATTGAAAGTTAACGAGAACAAAAAAGTTTATGCATTTACTCCTTAAAATGCAGTAATTATTAAAAAGAAGCAGCTAAGAGAAAACATTCAGAAATCAACATGGCTTAGCACTATATCACATTTAAATGGATTCTATACTGTTGCATTACAATAGCTCACAAAAAATAAAGGTGCTTTAACTTACAATCACTTCCAGCTTTCCCTGGACATCATGGGACTTGATAACCCAATTGACAGACTTTCTGCACTTGAGGATAAGCACCACATCCCTGACAAGCCTGGCGCCTGGCTGAGATGGTTTAATGTCCACGATTATATCCACCTGGAGAGCACTGTATGGAAAATAGAAAGTTAGAACAGAATGCCAGAAATTTTAAGCTATCAACCTTCTTCCAATCCATCATGTTTCCACTGTCTGGCCAGCTGATTAAAATGCTGGATATTATCCCGGGCAACACAACATGTGCAAAACAGATTGTTATTCCATATACACTTAAGTGATTTTGCATAACAATAAAAACAAGTACTTTTTAGAAAAAAAATATTTCTGTCTCTTATTTACAGGAAGTGTGCTACTCAATTCACCTATTATTTAGTGCAGGTAAGTGATATGGCTAGCAGGTTGCTTTCTAAAGTAAACATAATTTTCTTATTTCACTGTGACAGTGCCTAAATATAACTGTTTTAGTTTCCTCTGGCTATAACTGTACTAAAACTTTAAAAAATACCTTAAAAAAATTAAAGAAGACAAAGAGGTTAACGCACATGCATAAAACACCAAACCCAAACCACAAATACTGTACTGGGGGGTGTCTCTGCCTAAACAGTTAAATTGTGGAATGACTTTGTTTCAGATCTTGCGTGCTTTGAGGAATTAAGCAGTCTATTCAGTTTCCACTACTTCTGGGTATATAGTTACTTTAAAAAGAAAAAAACCCAGATGTCCAGCCTACTGCTTACTGGAAAATAGATGAAAACTGTCCAGATTTTCAAGATCACAGTAAAATAAGTACAGCAAACGGGTTCTTACCCATCAATAACATCTCAACATGTAAAAAACCAATTCAATAGAAAAACCTATACTTCCAGACCATCCTATGGGGCCATACATTATAAGAACGTGCTCATCGCCATGTAATAGGTTCTAACTAATAATACAATGAGACTTCATGTATCTTGGGACCTTTGGTCCATCTCCTGCCCCTTGACACATGTCCAGCTCAGCTTCTGTATGTTTCTTTGGGGATTTAAACTTCACAAGGATAGCTGTGGATAACACATAAAACTAAGAACAAAGTAATTTAGTATCTTTCTTTTTTTTACTTTTAATAGCAAAACATTTAAACTTCTTGCAGTGTTATCATCTCAAAAGCAAATTCCTATTGTGCTATCATCCAAAGCCAAAAGCTTGGAACCAAGGCTGTCACTGTGTAGCACTACAAGGGACTTGGAAGGATGCTTAGCATCAGCTCTGTTCAGGATGGGGCTGCATCAGCATTTGGGGTTACCAACTCCACTTCCACTACACTACCACTCCATTCCACCTCAACACTTTCTTACTCTCCTCAGGTTCTTATGCAAGAAAGTGATCAGGTTCTGGGTTCAACATCTTGCAATGAGAATTATCCTTTTCACAAAAACACCTCCTCCCACCTCCATCTCCCTGTGTGGATTTCTCACTAGGGATAGGATGCACTCACATGCAGCTGCATGAGGAGCAGAATCAGACAATGCCAGATATCCAGTGAATGTAGTAAGCAGACAGGATTTTAATTCTACCTTATCTCTGATGAAATTGTAACCATCTAAGTTTCATAGCAAATTTCTGTTCTAGCAATCATACTTGGCCCTTAGTCACACTTGGAAAACCTCTTCCTATCTGAAGCATATCCCACTTATGTTCTCCCACAAAGATCTAGGAAAGACCAGTAAAAGATGAGTATTCTATATGTCTTACCCTTCCCCTTTGATGAAAGCTATAATTCAAAATTTAGAAAATCTTCATAATGTGTATAGAGTTACTTTTCCTAGCCAGCAGTTAAAAAAAATTTAGTCAGTGCACCACTATCAACCCTTAGCATTTCTCATAATTATCACATTATCCCTTAAACTCAACTGGAAACTTGACAGAAAATACTGTTGTGAATCTTCAGAGCAGCTGTGGAACACTTATCACAGACCACAGATCACTTGCAGCCTCTGGACACTGTTTGGGAGCCAATGTCCTACACCTTGCTGCCAGTCATCCCTACCTGTGACAAGTCAGGATTAGTTTCTACCTCTGTCTCACCTCCTCACCCAGTGGTCTAACCTTAAAACCTCTCTGTCAGATACTGCCCTTACTCATATTCCCTTATTCATCTTGTCCTTGGAAAAATGTGACTGATTGAGCAAGAAGGGGAGCAGTACACAGTCCACAAAAGTTGTGCTTTGCAGTCTTGTCCGGAAAAATCCTGTGATTATGCAGCAGAATTAAAATCTTTACATACTGAAGAACCAATTTCTATTTAAAGTAAAGAATTAAAGCCCAAGCTTTTCTTTAAGGATGAAATGGCCGCTTTCAGTTGATTTTTTATAAGACAAGTGAAGTTTTTAGCTATTACTTCAAACAGTTTTAGTCTATTTAGATGCTACTTTACCTGTTAGGATTGGAATTTGGAGTACTTAGTTCAATGATATGAACTTCTCTTTCCTGGACTAAGTTAGACATGAGGCACCCCTCTGCTGGTTTTGGTTGCAGGTATCCCGCAAGGTAATTCAAAGAGAGAAAATTCTTCTTTATGTTGCATGAGGGAGGAAAAACTTGATCTGGAGGGGAAAAAAAAGCAAGCATAGGGACCTTTAACCACAGATATCAGCTTAGATGTATGCACATACCATGTACACTTGAGTGTTCACTATATTTCTTAAAGGTGTCTCTACCATCTGTTACAAGCACATATGACGAATCATCAATATTGAAAAGGAGATTACTGTTGCATCAATACATCAACTTTCTGATAGTCATTATTTATGGATTTAAACACATAATGAAAGAAAATCCCTGTAAAGAAAAGTGTGAAAACAATTCTGAAGAAAAATGTGAAAAACTTGTCAAAATTAATAATATACATTTAATTTGCTCCTTGCATCTTTACAAGAGATTTCTTTCTATTGCAATTTACTCAGAGATAACTTTTGGAATCAACTCCTTCTCCCTGTGGAAAATATTTTATTCTTGTTATTATAAACCTACTACGCTTTAAATACTACAGAAAGTACTTTCCATTTCCTTACTTGATAATTTACTATATATTGTGTAGTCAGAGTCAGTGTTGTCTAGAAAGCAACAAATATTGCATTTGTCTTGCACATGGAAAATTAAAAGCATGAAAAAATTATGGAATCAGCTGTTGATATTAAGAAACTGATCACAATACACATAGCTGAAATAACAAAATTCTAGCATAGCTATTCAATCTCTTTTGGTTTTAACCAAAAAGCTGAATATGAGCATTACAGAACCCCAGAATGTGCTGAGCTGCAAGAGATCCACAAGGGTCATTGAGTCCAACTCTTGGCCCTGCACAGGACCATCCCCAAGAGCCACACCCTGTGTCAGAGCATTGTCCAAAGGCTTCTTGAACTCTGCCAGGCTGCTGCTGTGACCCCTGCCATGGGGAGCCTGTGCCAGTGCTCAACGACCCTCTGGGTGAAGAGCCACTAGTGTAAAATGCAAGCCATAAAAAAAGTCACTTCATATGAAATTCTCATGCACAGCCTCTATTACTGTAGCCCAAGAAACACTATTTCTACTGAAAATCAGGAGCACTTTGCCTTTCTGAGATAGCTTGACATATGAATTGTCATAATACACAGAAGGACCAAGTACCATGTTCAAGTACTTGAAGTCCGGTAAGAATACAATTCCACATGTCTGGGTCTTTGACCATTGCTGTACAAGAAGGACTTTTCCTATTAAGGTCAGTAGCAGGATACAAAAAAAACCAAAAAACCAAAATAAAATAAATCAACTAGCATGCATTGTAAACAAAAAACTGTGAAGAAACTCTTATGAGCTGTTCTGAGGCCATGCACTCTCTAAATGAGAACTGAAATGTCACCTCTGAAGGGCATTTGTGTGTGCTACCCAGCTCTGCAGGAAGACCAGAGACTCCTGTGACCCTGGTCTCTGCAGAAACAATCAGGGGAGTTTCTTCTCCTGATCTTACACAAAGCAGCCTTTGAATGTTAACCCTGTTGTGTCCCCTACAGAAGTTACTAAAGCTGTGTAAGGCTGTGACTATTCATACTGCCCAGGCAAAGCACTTCTCTAACATCTGGTGTGTGCCCTGCCAGATTAGCTTTGAATGCAGCTGCAGTTCTGTCAGCTCCTCCCACAACAGCACAGAATGGAAAATGATCCCAAATGGTCTATGCTGAGCTTAAATTTTTAAATATATCTATATATATACACACAGAGAGACAGTAGGTATTTTCTTCTTAACTGCTGTACAACATGATTCAGGCCATAAAATACCAGTTCTGGAGCAGTTTGTGGGTAATTACCACACGTGCTATCATTTGCCATTGCAAACAACTCAGTTCTTGCTCCTGGCACTTCCATGAGGCGTCTCTGGAGCTCTCCAGAAGTGCTGCTCTTGCTGCCAGAAGCACAGAGAGTCCCCAGCCTGGGCCCCCACTCGATAGCAAGCTTTTCCTCTGCACAGATTTCAGCTCTATCATGGGCTACTTGACATGCACACCAGAATGAATTTACTCTCATCCACACCAGTTACCAAAACTGGGCTGGAGCAGAAAAGAAAAGGGGATCCATTCCAGCTTTCTTTGCTCACTACACATCTCCTCTTTGTTAGTTTCAGGGCTGTCTACGTACTTTGGAAAGGGACTGCAGGTGTCTGCAATCAATTAGAAACATACCAAAGCAGCCAACAAACAGTCAGTTTATGGATTCCGTGCCTCTCTAATCTCCCCAGACTCCCAACAGGGAATCAGACGTGGGGTTTGCAGAACACCCTCAGCAGAGGGTCTCTGGCAGCAGTGGGGGTGCCAGGGGGCCCTGCTGGCCAAAGGCAGCAGAGCTGTGAGCAGTGGCCAGCAGCCACCTTCCATCAGTGAGTGCCAGGCAGGCTGGATGGACACAGCACTGCACACCAGGATCTGTCTCTTCTGTGTGCAGCACTTGTTTTTACTGATGAGGACAGACACTGTCTGCTCTGCTCTGCACAAATTAGGTGTCATCCACAGGTTCCTGGCTGAAGTTGAATATCCAAGCTTAACATCACCCTGAGGAGGTTTTTGTGCAAATGAGCACTGTTAATCAAGTGTCACTTCCCAAGACAGGCACCCTGGGCAGCAGCAGTTGGATTCAGCAATAAAAATCCCATCCAAGCAGAGCTTGCCTTTCAAAATCTGATCTGGGCATAAGCAAGGTGTTTGGAATTTTCCTTGGGCACCCTGATGGTAGGGCTTATTTATGTGTATTTCACAGTTTGCTAGCCCTTAGCAAAACAGAGATCAGAACCTTGGCTGGCATTTACCAGCAGGATGGAAATGGGATCAGGGAAGGGCCTACAGGGGTCTCAGGAGGGAGGATGCAAACTCTAGACAGTGCTCATTCTGCAGCAGGACACACAGCTAAGCCAGACGATGGGACCATGTGCCAGCATTTAACCAAGCAAGCATGGCATGCAGGATATGCGCACTGGCTATAAATTCAGAGTCAGGAATGACGTTTCAGCTTCTGCCAGGACAGAAGCACAGTGTTACTATCTGTAAATAAACTGTACATTTTCCAATTTAGCTACTGTTAAAACTAATTTTTTTCTTATTTAGGTAAGAAATGTGTTGAAATTAGGGGTCCCTCCAGGCTAGCACATTTGCCCTGGATTTACTGGTGATGCTGGATGCATTAGGTAACATTTAGCTAACTGATAGGACTTCCTGACTTGCTCAATCATGTCTTACTGAACCGTGAGGAATTAAACTGACTTCTGCTGTAAAACACGTACCAAGAGCACTGTCATCATGAGCAGTCCTGCCTTCTAGTATCTGACAGTAATTATCACAGCAGCCACTCTGCCCTCTCCTTCATTACACAAACCAAGGCAAGAACAAGAACCCCACTTCTTGTGCCCTCTTCCTCCACACCCCCATTCTGGTCCCTTAAAATTCTTGCTGTGATCACCATCCCTGCAGTATTTGATCAGCCACTCTTTACAATCAACAGGATTCAGATGCACTTGGCCCTGATCCAGTTTGCTAGTGCTCTCAGCTGCCTTTCATTTGCAGTTTCAAAAGTGACTTAAGAGACCCATGGCATCAGAAGCAGCTTTATTCTATGAAAGATCAGCCTTCTTCAGATCTTTCTGTCCTTTGGCTTGCATTTTCTGTTTTCTGTGTTCAGCTACAGCCTACACTTTTAAAATGTTACATCTTCCAGTTTCAGATTTGTCTAACTTGAGTGAAGCTGAAATGTAGACAATTATATGAATACAGCCCTCAAATTCTGTATCAGTCACACAGCCAGGAACTGCTTTGTGTGACCACCTATAGATTATGAGCAATTCCAGCAGTGATTCACAGCCTGTCTGCTGAAGGTACCTTACTAAATCTCATGAGTGTAAGTTTTCTATGAAAAGCCTAAACTGTACGTCACTGCGTGCTGTGGTTTGTGAAATCCAGTGATTCCATTGTTCACTCTGCAGAGAAGCAAACCAGGAGCACATCCCACGTGGTTTTCACAGAACTCCTCACACGACTCTGCAGTTCAAGAACTGACCCAGTCCCCACCCCTGAGCACATGCATAACCCCCCCACATACACACATGTTCCCTTCTGCCAAGAATTTAAATCAAAACCAAACAATTACAGCTGAGCTGGTTTGTAGGAGCCTTCTCAGAAACTGTCTGTTTTGGTTGCCTGCCAAGTTCCATTTTGTGTACTTGCTCCTAATTAAATTGTGTTTTAGTGCATTCTGAAGATGATGCAAAACTCTCCTCTTTAGCCTCCTGGTTTGACTGGAGACATGCAAATCAACAAACAAAATTTTATCTGTTTTTTTCAACATATCTCATTAAATATTTGTCTCCACAATGCAGAGACCACTACTTCCATGTATATGTTTCAAGAGCATTTTAATAAGGTAAGAAATATATTTCTGAATGATTTTCTGGCATTAGAGTCCACAACTGGTGCCAAGTAGAGCCAAAAAAAAAAAGCCCCCACACAAGGGAATCCTCTACAAATTTGGCAGGATTTGGATAAAACTAACTCAGGCATATTCTGATTTTGGGGGGTAAACCTCCTATGTCAGGAAATCAAATTATCAGATCCATGTGGTTAGGAAAGAATGTTTTGTCCACTGAAGGCTTTTTGTTGTTTTTTTCTTGCCTGTAACCAACTAGTTCAGCTGTTTGGGAGTTTCTGTAGATATTCCTGCAGAGCATCACACAGTTATGTTGTGCCAACACTGCTCAGCTATGGAGCTACAGCCTGAGCCCCACCCCAGCACAGGCCTGTGTGCAGTCCCCAAGGAGCTGGGGTCCTCTCCCATCTGCACTAGGCCACCTGAACAATCTGGCATGTGGCTCAGAGGGACAGGAAATCTGTCTCCTTGGGAGGAAAATATGGCAGTACAGACTAAGGTAACTTAGTTTGGTGAGGAAGGCAATAATTCTGTGCCCAAAGAAGCCTGGATCCTTATACAAGCAAATAATGAAAAAATAATGTAACTCAGGTCTTTCTAGAAATTTCCCCCTACTTCAAGATGAATGCACCCAAACTATCACCATGAGTAGCTGATACTGTTTAAAAGGCAAAGTTTGACTCTTGTAAGATTCCAAGCAATTGCATCCACATTTATGAGCATAAAGTGATGGCACCACAATCCATTAAAAGTTTCCTAAACCCAAGGTCTGGTCTTAGACTTGAGGCTTGCCCTTATTTCTCTGCTCTCCCTTTCATATGTTTAAAAATTAAAATAAGTGAAATATAAGCAACATATTCTCAGTATCTGAAAGTGTCTATGAATTCAGTTGGTTTTGTTCTGGTTTACCTTCTCCTACTTTAATGTAGATGTTTCTTGATATTTTCAGTTCAGTGAAAGATGTTACTGCTCCATATTCCTTCTGGGCCCACTGTAGCAGATGTTCATTTTTCTCAGGAAAAAACTTTTCTTCTGTTTCTGCTGACAAGGAGAAGTTTCCCTTCTCAAACTGAACAACGGAACCTACAGACACCTGATGGGAATAAAAACACATTTTAATGTGGTACATTTATCCATGCAGACACGTAGCATGTTTAAGTGATGGGACCTCTCATACCCAAATGCAGTGACTGAAGGTGATTATGGCCTATTTCCACTTTGCATTTTCACCACCTAGAAGCACCTATGCCATGGGCTGATTTCATGGAGCATCTCTACAATGCTCCTAACATATCAAATTCTGTGTAAATTCCTAGTGTACAGTCTCAGAGGATGGCACTGACACAGCACATGCCAGATTGTGTACTTTTATATCAGAGACATGTGGGACATTTTCATAGAGCTTTGGCCTAACTAGAAAAATCTCCCATGCATAAAATTCACAGGATTTAAGGACTTAATCAGTGATTATTTTGCGGGAATATTGAATAGATGTTGGCATTCCACCCTCAGAGACAATTTATCCAGTAAGAGTAGAAGTTGGTTTTCATTTACACATTGTTTCAATTTTTTTTTATGGTAAATATCAGGGTAAAGCAGCATCAGTGTGTCTTTTTAAACGTTTCAGGAGAATGTTTAAGCATGAGAAAAAATATTATTCCTTCTAAATAACAATCAAAGAAATTAATTACTTTACAATAATACATTTTTGCTGTATTTTTCATTTGAGATAGTTAAATGCATGCTAACACAACAGCTGTCTTCCTCAGAATACACTTGGTTTTTCATTTATTACTAATTAAAGCTTGAAAACCTTTTTCATCATCCTGCAGCATGACAAATGTCTTCCTGAGGGACAGATCCTATCGAAGTGGCCACGTGCTTCAAGGGAGGAACCGACAGACAGAAAGCAGAGCAACTAAAAGTCTGGCACAAGCATTCTCACTAAGTGATCATACAGTAAACATCTTGAAACAAACACGAAGCTTATCATATTTACTTTTTTCAATCACATACTAAAGTCTATTTGAAATCCTGGTTCCACTACCCAGGTTTTAGAAAGGACTGCAGAGTTCTGCTGTGCTTGCCAATGTTGGGATTTTTACTACACAGACCTAAGGCAAGGTTAAGTGAGCCAAGCACGTTATTTGTTCTGGAAGGAATTCAACAGACCCTTCCAAAAAAGGCAACCATCACTGTTTCAACACCTGCCTTGAACATTAACTACTTACTCTTCAGAACAAATCAAAAGCAAATCTAACATGCTTAGGATAATGCAAAGCATTAAAGCCTAATAATGTTTTAAATATTTGGGAACTAACCAATTTTTATCTGAGCACTAATTAGGCACTGATTGAGTGATTAAGAGACTGCTGCCACAGACACTCTTATCTCCTCCCTTCAACTCCTTTAGGGGTTACTTTCTGAGGTTGCAGAGTGGAAAAAGTGCCCCAGCTCTATTTCTCCCAGTTGTTGTGAGGACATGAAAAGGAACTGCACTGGAAACATCCTCAGCTGTTGAGTAGACCTACATGTCCTGTCACTTTTCTGAGACTAAATGAAGAAGCTGGACATGGAAAATCTGTTTGCAAGACCATAAGACACTGGCCATAGCCACAAACCACAGCAAGCACCACAGTTCAGAGGGCTGTTCCTCAGAGGAAATGAGGATCAAGCACAGGATATTGAAAATATGCTACCAAAACCTGAGTATTCCATCAAAGAACAAAACATATTTAGGAACATATTTTGGTTGCATACACTACTACCCTGCTGACCATTGGGGAAAACAGGGCTTGAAATTTTCTCTGCACCATACCAAATCAAGGAAACATACACCCCCTCATACTGCGGCAACAAAACAAAAACAGCCTTCATACATCCCTTAAGAAAAGTTCCCAGTCTGAATAAAACTGCCCTTGCAAGGCTGCCATGGCAGTTCAGGACATCAGTTACCTGGCAGAAGTGCCAAATGTCATCAGTTACTATTCCCCAGAGGGAACAACTCTCAGAACCAAACCTGAGTCATCTCAAATACATACAGCGGTAAGTGCGACTACTGCACACACAAAATTGCATATTCTGTTTCTTGTTTTACCTGTTTCCTTCTCTCCCTTTAAACATTTATTGCCTTATTTCTTTCTTTGAATCTGATCCAAGGGGATATTTACTTTGCCTTATAACATTTTAAGTATTTAACACAGTTATAATTCAGAACTCCCAAGTAGGAAGCAAGTTCATAATTCAGCCTTGAGAGAGAGCTGGGCACCTCTGGGCCATGACTCAGGATATAAAGGTGAGTGTGCACAGCCAGCCAGCATGAGCCAATCCCTTCTCTCACAACAGCTACACCACTACCCATCCAGGGCCTGCCAGCACAGGGACGACCTGTTCACCCCTCAAGCCATGATGGAGGTAAATGTACCAGGAGGAAAAGAAGCAGCATCCTTCATATTTGTATCTGAGCTGTACAGCATCAGACCTGTGTAGAACATGTAGCAGAGGAGTATATCTGCTCAGAATAAAATGAGAATATTTGAACCAACTACTGGAGCAGCCTACATGGAGATCAGAGTCAGCTGGTGTTTATTGATATTGTACTTTGACGTAATTTCATCCTCTTACAGAGGAAAAATAAAGCCACAGATGGCAAAATATCAGGTATTCCAAAACTCAAAAATGTGTATTTTGTTGTTCATAAACCCATATACAACATACTTGAATCATTAAAAGAACAATTCTCTTCAAGTGAATAAGAAACATGCTGCTTTTGAAATTACATGCCACACTTGTGAATCATCTATCCAATCTGCATAGTCCTTACAGCCACAGAGGTGTGATGGTTTCAGGCAATGACAAAATGTTTCATTTTAGTGCTCTCAAGACCACATGCAGTCATCAAAAAATTCCACTTGAAGTTCTCACATTTTTGAAAACATACACATGAGGAGCACTATCTTAAATACATTTTAGATTTTAATTCAACTTCCTGGGAGATGCTCAGTTTTGCAGCTACCAAAGATCCTTATATAATTAATGCTGTTCAATGTTTTCTCAGGATGAAAGCAGAACCTTACAAGATCAGAGAGCACTCCTGCACATTTTTGCATCTTTATATATGTAGGAAGAAGATCCTGAGATTTTCTACCAAAGCTGAATCTGTGTCAAATCACGTGGAAATTTCAAAATGCCTAAGGAACAGTTACTAGAATGATAAAGAAACAAACAAGAAAATCTGTGGAAAGGGGAAATCTGGTACCAAGGTTTAAGGCTCAGCAGGAGTTTATTAATTGCACACAGGTAACTGCCCACTTAATTTAACAACATCTTAATAGACTTAACATAACACTTGTTTGATATGAGCAAAATAAGACAGCAGAAGCTTTTCCAGCGATTCTGTTTCAATTTAGAGGCAATTCAGTGGAAGAAGTGAGAGGAGAATTAAAGCCTATCTATGCAACTGCAGCTATAGTTTCCACTGGAATCAGTGACTCAGTAACAACCTGTTGTGATTTATTATCTCCACATCACTAACACCAGTAGTCTGCCAAAATCCACTGCCTGCTTCTGTAAACTTCCACTGGCTAAACCCCCTGTTTACTGAAGCAAGCAAAGAAAGGAAGGAGCCATGACCATACAGAAGAAAAAAGACTCCCAGGTGCCTGTTCCAGGTCCTTCAGCCTCCTGCAAGATTGGTTTGGGAATACACCTCAACCACTAAATGCCCAAACAGTCTTTGTTTCCTCACTCTTGAAGGCTGGATTAACTTAAAGTCCACATCTTCCTGACTAGCAGCTGTCTTGGTCTGAAAGTGATGGCTCTGGGCTCCTAGAGGGACCAGGAGGAGGAGGAATGCTTAGGAGCAGTCAGAGGCAGCAATGAGAAAGATCAGTAGGAGATACAAGAAGCAGCATCATCAGATCTGGCCTATCCACACTCCTAACACGAGTTCTGGTTAGAGCAATGACCCACAGATACAGCCCACTCCCACTGAAACAAACGGCACACAATAAAGGTTGAGTTCTGAAAGTTGTCTTAAATCACATGGGATCTAGTATGAACTCTGTGACACTCTCAGCAAACCAAGCTCCCCAAATGAAGGCCTTTGAAGTCTCAAGAAAGAAGAATCTAAGGCACAAGGACCTGCCTGGTTTCCTGTGAAATTTACTGGCAACTTGGTTTTCTTGAAATATTTCTGCCCAAGCTGAAGTGATTACAGTGAAAGCAGAGGGTAGCTATAGATCACAAAATTTCCCTATTTTGGGACATCACACATACAGAATGTTTTTACTATACTCTGCATATTCATTTCATGTACTGCATCTTGCTTCCTAAGCCAGAAATAGCAACTCTCTTCTGCAATGTCTTCCTGAAGCAAGCTTTGAAAAAAAAACCAACCCTCAAACCCCTGGATATTTAAAGATGCCTTACCAGGGTTATTGTACTCTTAAACTCCTTTTACATGCATTATTTTCAAGCATCTATTTACTACTCTGTCATTTTCTGCCATTCCTTCTGCTCTTTTCACAAGAATCACCACCCCATGTAGCCTGAGGCCTCCCTAATATTTCTGAGAATCACCTGTTTATATAGACTTTAGAAAAGCAGTATTTTGCCGTTGAAACATGCCAGGAGACAAAGTTTACAGGGAAATTTACCATTGTGAAAAGCATAGTAAGAGTTACTGTTTACTAAGCACTGCTTTTAATTTGACACAAAATGTTAATTTTCACATTTTTTCAAAAGGCAAGGAAACAGTGTGGGGATGAGAAGGGAGAATATGAACTTTTCCAAATGGAAAAGGGCAACTACAGGATTATTTCCAGCTCCTGAGTAGAAGAACGATGAAGACTTCTTAAAAAAAAAGCAAACTCAGGATTCTACAGTAATGTAAAGGTCTTTTAAAATTCCTCTTCACACTGTTACACAACACTGAAAATCTATGCTTTTACTTTGAATAGTGAAAGGTCACTATTTATACCAAATTTATCACTAGTCATGCATTTCCTATCCGTCCTCACTCTTCTCCTAGCAGAGCACTCTGCTCACATCTGGGTCTGTTTAACCAGTGATTGGAAATTTAGCCTCCTGATT